TCTTGACTTCTTAATGGCGATGTTATTACAAATCTTCTTCATGCGTCTTTATCCTTCTCCTTATCAGTCTATTACTTTTTCCCCGCACTTTGTTTCCGCAATCGTTTCTTCACCCTGTCTCCTGTCCTCCGAATCCTCCTTAGATTTCTCTTATCTACTTTTCTTGTACTTCTATCTACCTTGCGTCCTCTTTATCTTCCCTAATTCTCTTTCCCTTATTCTCATCTCTCGTTTTTCTCTTCCCCTTTCTTCTCTTCTCTCTCCTTTTTCTCATTTTAGTCCTTCTCTTCTCCTTCTCTCCTCCACCACTTCCCCATTCCCTTCTCTTCCACCTGTCCCATTCCTCCTCATCATTCTCCTCCTCACCTCCACCTTTTCTCCCCTTCTCTGCCTCTACCTCTCTGCCTGCCCCCACTTGACAGAAAAAAAATCATTAGTAAATGCGTAAGTGAAATTAAAAGATTACAAACATATGCGAGAACATATGTGTCATTATCACAGAGTAAAAGACTGAACGTAGTATGCAAAATTTGCGTAAAGGGGGAACAGAGAGATGGAGGAGAATGGAGGGATGGTCTGGAGGGGAAACGAGGGAGATGAAGGGAAAAGCCGTTTATATATATATATATATATATATATATATATATATATATATATATATATATATATATTTATTTATTATTTTCTACCACAGACGTGGCCACACATTTACAATGCTAACCAGCATATATACGGTTTCTTCTGTCCTCCATGGACGGGGTTAGAGACGTGTTAAACATTTAGTTCAAGGGTTTATTGAACACTCAACCACAGAAGGTGATTCGGTGCTTTTAAAATGCTAAGCTAACCTACATACGTAAATAGAAAAGCAGTTGTGGGGGCAGCAATTTAGAGGATGGGAGTGAGAGGCATTTTTGGAGGGCCAATGGTAGAGGTAATGGCAACGTTTACCAAAGGTGCAGAAGCTACCTCCATTCACACCTTCAACCGGGCTTTGTATTCAGTGACGACGATGGTGTGAGGTCAAGCTCTTCGTGTCCATGTCCTCCTCTAGCCTTCTTTACCTGGGGCATTTTCTCCTCTATTGCGGTCTGTATTGTCTCTATTATTTGAGGTCTCAAATGTGTTCCTAAGTTGAAGGTGTGGATGGAGGTGGCTTCTGCAACTTCTGCTAGAGGAACGGAACACAACACGTTTTTTATTTGTACTTGACTGTTTTTGTATTTTCCTCAGTAGCTACTTAATATTAGGCGATCACTCAGGTTATGCTCGTCTGAGCGGCGGCTGTCCCCCGACCCGTCATCAGGTTATGGTTCGCTAAACTGTGACGACAGACCTTCAAGACACATCTTTTCTCCAAACAGAAAATGAAAGTATATTATGTGTGTGTTACGGCCACTATGGGCCAGTAGCCGGGATCTTGATGTTACAACCTCTTTTCTGTATCCGACCCCAGCTCGTTGATGAGGACGGGCTGGTTGATGAGGACGGGCTGGTTGATGTGGACGAGCTGGTTGATGTGGACGGGCTGGTTGATGAGGACGGGCTGGTTGATGAGGACGGGCTGGTTGATGAGGACGGGCTGGTTGATGTGGACGAGCTGGTTGATGTGGACGGGCAGGTTGATGAGAACGGGCTGGTTGATGTGGACGAGCTGGTTGATGTGGACGGGCAGGTTGATGAGAACGGGCTGGTTGATGTGGACGAGCTGGTTGATGAGGACGGGCTGGTTGATGTGGACGGGCAGGTTGATGAGAACGGGCTGGTTGATGTGGACGAGCTGGTTGATGAGGACGGGCTGGTTGATGAAAACACGCTGGTTGATGAGGACGGGCTGGTTGATGAGGACTGGCTGGTTGATGAGGACGGCCTGGTTGATGAGAACACGCTGGTTGATGTGGACGGGCAGGTTGATGAGAACGGGCTGTACGAGGACTGGTTGCTATCATAATATTTCTGTGGATCCGAAAATTTACCTCTGCGTTATCAGTCACTATATCTCTCTATCCAACTCTTCCTCCCTGTCTTCCAACATGACTCTCACCCATGTTGATCTTCCTCTCTCACCACATTCCTTATCACCGTTCGCTCTTCCTACCCCTCGCTTCTTCCCTTATTATTTCCATTCCTCTCGTCTTTTCCCTATTCCAGTCACAACAACAGCTGGTGGTTCCACATTCCAACTCTTACGAGGGCAAGATTGATGAAGCCTCGAGCATGGTCCGCCACAGTATTGGAAAAGAGAGAGAGAGAGAGAGAGAGAGAGAGAGAGAGAGAGAGAGAGAGAGAGAGAGAGAGAGAGAGAGAGAGAGAGAGAGAGAGAGAGAGAGAGACAGACAGAGAGAGAAAGAATAAAATTAGGTCAGGCATGGTGGTCATCGGTCACCAAAGACTTTGGGAACTAAACTGCCCAACCGTCGCGTGACTCCAATGACCTGGCGCCCGACGAAGGCTTGAAGCATAATGTTAAAGAAATTTAAAAACATTCCAGAATCAGTAAAAATGGTTCTTGTAACAGTTAATCGCAATATAATAAACTTTTAAGAGTTTTACTGATTTAATTTCTGGTTATTTAAAATTCAGTATGCATAATTCTCTTTATTATGATGACCATATATTATCATATTTAATCAGCTTCATAAATATCATATCTACTTGCCAATATATAATTATCGTATCTAATCAGCTATATATAATTATCATATCTAATCAGCTATATATAATTATCATATCTAATCAGCTATATATAATTATCATATCTAATCAGTTATATACAATCATCCTATCCAATCAGTTATATATACTTATCCTATCTAATTAGCTATATAAGTAATTATCATATCTTCAGTCATTTTATATTCACTCCTCATCTTCTCTGAATTAATTTAAGGACATCCCATAAGTAAATATCACAGACTAGTGGTACAAGCGGACTAAAAGGAGACTCCATTACTTCGACAGCCAATGAGCAAGAGATAATAATTGATTGATGATAATTTCAAAGGCTCATAGCAACGTGATACAGATGTTTCAATAAGACAAGTAATGTTTATATATATATCACAAGCTGTTTAAGCATATACACCATTAGATAACTAACCCAACTCACACAATGTATGAAATGTATGTGTCGACGTTTCAGTCCATGATGGACCCCCCCCCCCCAGTCCATCACCATAGACCCCGTATTGAGGCGTCAAGCGTTCTCACTTTCATTCTATCTCACAAGTGTAGGTTAAACCGATTATTTAATTATACCTTCGTGTCAAAAACCCATCACTACATTTGACACTTTGACTTCACTTTGAAATCAGCTACGCTAGTAAATCGACCATGTGGCTTCACTTTATAAAACTAAATTGCTTATTGGTACCAAGTATATAAATTTGTATCAAAGGACTTGTCTAAACTCTGAAAAGAAACTCGCAAATGTGTTCCCCTCAACTGAGAGGGTTATATATTGGTCTGTAATTCTCTACTGATGTCTTTTTCTTTTTGTGTGTGTGTGATTAGCTACCAATCTTGGCATCTTTGGGGCCTGACAGCTGAGTGTACAGCGCTCGGATTCGTAGTCCCGAGGTTTCGGGTTCGATTCCCAGTAGAGGCGGAAACAAATAGTCAGAGTTTCTTTCACCCTGATGCCTCTGTCTACTTAGCAGTACATAGGTACCTGGGAGTTAGACAGCTGCTACGGGCTACTTCCTGGGGATGTGTAACTAAAAAGAAGCCTGGTCAAGGACCGGGCCGCGGGGACGCTAAGCCACGAAATCATCTCTAGATAACATGATCTTTCAAGTTTGTGACTAAGTTGGCCGTACAATATAAGTCAGAAATATGGATGAAGTTTGCTCTCTCACATTCTGACAGTTTGGCTATGGTATCATGCTCAAACAAGAGCTTCTTATAAATAAAAATAATATTATTAATAATTGTCATCCACACTTCCATGGAATATATATATATATATATATATATATATATATATATATATATATATATATATATATTTATATATATATATATATATATATATATATATATATATATATATATATATATATATATATATATATATATATATATATATCAAGGACTACTAATTCCTCTGAGCTTCAGTAATAGTCAGGGAAAGTCGAATATTCCAGCTGGGTAGCAGCAGTTGCTCCTGGAATCTTTCCTTATTACGACCACTCTATAGCCCAGTCGATAGAGCAGGTGGGTGGGCCCCTCACACGCACGGGGCCCGCGGTTCGAGACACCTAGTGCCCAGGTGCATGAATTAATAATAATGTTAGACAGACAGAGAGACGTATAAGTAAGAGTGACACAGACAGACAATGAGGGATATATTATCGTAGTACCTCACGTATATCGTTTCAGTTTTGGCCGGACAGGAATATATACATTTGTTGACGTTAATTTAAAACACTTGTGTACATTGACATCTGAATCTATAGTAAGAACAATAGTTGGCCTGGTAAAGACAGCAGCAGTAACAGCAGCAGTAACAGCAACAGTAACAGCAACAGCAGCAGTAACAGTAACAGCAGCAGTAACAGTAACAGTAACATCAGCAGTAACAGCAGCAGCAACAGTAACAGTAACAGCAACATTAACAGTAACAGTAACAACAGCAATAACAGCATCAGTAACAGTAACAGCAGCATTAACAGCTGCAGTAACAGCAGCAGTAACAGCAACAGTAATAGCAACAGTAAAATCAGCAGTAACAGCAACAGTAAAAGCAGCAGCAACAGAAACAATAACAGCAACAGTAACAGCATCAGTAACAGCAGTAATAACAGCAGTAGCAACAACAGTAGTAACAGCAGCAGTAACATCAGCAGTAACAGCACCAGCAACAGCAACAGTAACAGCAACAGTAACAGTAATAGAAAGACAGTTGTAAATTGGTAAAGAGAAGGCTTTTTCGAGGAGAGCAATTTGGCTCACAATGCAAGATGCATTCAAAATGAGGCGCAACACAATTGACCTCCACCATGGTACTGGTGGCTGCCAGCCCACCACCATGGTACTGGTGGCTACCAGCCCACCACCATGGTACTGGTGGCTACCAGCCCACCACCATGGTACTGGTGGCTACCAGCCCACCACCATGGTACTGGTGGCTACCAGCCCACCACCATGGTACTGGTGGCTACCAGCCCACCACCATGGTACTGGTGGCTACCAGCCCACCACCATGGTACAGGTGGCTACCAGCCCACCACCATGGTACTGGTGGCTACCAGCCCACCACCATGGTACTGGTGGTTACCAGCCCACCACTGTGGTACTGGTGGCTACCAGCCCACCACCATGGTACTGGTGGCTACCAGCCCACCACCATGGTACTGGTGGCTACCAGCCCACCACCATGGTACTGGTGGCTACCAGCCCACCACCATGGTACTGGTGGCTACCAGCCCACCACCATGGTACTGGTGGCTACCAGCCCACCACCATGGTACTGGTGGTTACCAGCCCACCACCATGGTACTGGTGGCTACCGGTACTCTGACATTGACATCAAAAGCCATTCTAAACTGATAGGCGATTCAGACTGCGAGCTACGGTGTCCAACAGCCTAA